CCACACCCATAAGACATTGACTATGCTTTGGATGAGAAGATTCATAATGAGTGTTCAGGTTGCTCAAAATCTTGCCGACAGTTCACATCAAAATCAAGTGATATTTTTCTCGTTGTTCTACTAATTCTATCAACATATGCCACTTTTTCCAAGGGACTTACCAGTCTTTTACTACCTGATTGTGGAATCAATGATCAAGGAGCACGCTAGTTTGCAGATGCTGTGCGACAGAATCGAGTAATATTTCCCAAATGATTGTTTTTTACTTATTATATTGTATAAGTACTGGCCAGGCTTTCGTTTATGAAAAATCAAATTTGGTGATGAAGGTGCACAATATTTTGGTAAAGCCCTTCGACAAAACAGTAATAATATCTACATACCCTTCTTGATTTTCTTCTTATTGAAATAATGCTGAATATTTTCACTAGACACTAGTCGAAGTTGAGTTTTGAAGAAATCAACTTGGTGATAGAAGAGAACAACATTTTGCTGACGCCTTCCAACATAATCAAGTAATAGTTTCTTCCTCTCTTTGGATATTGTCGATGCGCACTATTTTCTATAGACGTTGACAAGGTTACCATTCACTGAAAATCGAGTCGGTGATGAAGGAGTACAACATCTTGCGGAAGCTCTACAACAAAATCAAGCAGTATAATTTCTTTCTCTGGTTTCTTTTTGGTATACACTATTTTTTACAGACACTGCAAACACTATCACTTTGGGAGAATCGGATTAGCGATCAAGGAGCACAGCATCTTGTTGATGCTCTACAACTACGACAAGTAATGTGTTTTTTTTATTCTTCTCCGTCTATAGATATTTCTCATTTTCTACAGGTACCTATCAAAGTGAGTCTTTCGCATAATCAAATTATCGAAGAGAAAAAAACAATATATTAAGAGTATTTGTCCAAACAAATTCATACTCTAATTGATAAAAGCGCGGACATGTTTTCACATTAAGAAGACAACAATGCCCTTCCGTTTAGTATGAAAAATACGCTTTTTTATCGTGATAAATAAGATTTTTCAAACACAATCATCAAAAATTGACAGAATTGTCATTGATGAATACATTATTTTAAATATTTTGACAAGAGCAAATGGTAATTTGATCTATCGGATGCTTTTTCTTCTTTTCTTAGATTAAATAATTATATTGAGATATATCTTTTATTCGAAAATATGATGTGGTTCGAAATTGTCGAAAAAAAATTTTATTCTTTCAAATGTCTTGGCGTTTTCAACAATGTTCGAAGTACGCGAGAAACATTTACAGTGCTGATTCTTTGTGGATTTCTTTTCGATGTTTGAGATACTTTCGTCGCACTAGTAAGCTGAGATTGATTTGTTATTGCAGATCGATTAACAATATTTTCACTCTCGTTTGAAATTGCTGTATGACTAAGTCGATGAAGTCGAATGACATTTATTGCAGTCCTGATCGGCTTTTGTACTGGTGCCCATACCGTCAAAGAATCATTTGATGAGATTGATGCACGTCGTTGTAAACGTTCATAGTTGCTCGTTGATGTTCGTTGTTCATGACGATGACTTTGAAACATCGAGTTTCTTCCTCGTCCAGACAAACTTGAACGAATCGATCGAATTGGAAGAATCGTGTTGTTGATCGATAACATCGACTTGAACATTGTTTGATGATGTTTTGCTCGATGATTCTGAGCAGGACTCAGCGCTGATTCGGTGTCAATGTTATATACTGAGGATGATTCTGGTGGACGTACACTAGTGAAGATATCATTGACTTGTGTGTTATGAATCCATCTACTTTGTTCTTCTCGATAGTGACGACGTTTAGCAGCCAGACTCCTTTAATATGTCATGTGATAGAAATCAATAACTACGAAGAGAAAAGAAAATCTTACAGAAAATAGAAATAGTAACAACAAAGACAACATAATGCCAAAGCCAAAGCACTTATCAAACCCACAATAGCTCCGATCAAAGGCCAATTATCTAAAAAAAAAAGATTTGGGAATAAAAACTCAATTTATTGGTATTTATACTCAATACTAGAGGATGGTGATGACTGAGTAGTGCTAATTAAAACAAACAAACAGACAATAACATCTACTGAGATGGTAAAAATAAGAACTACTACTTACGTTACAGAAACCATTGGTGATCTGTAATATGTCAAATAAATACATGTTTGATGATTTGAATAAAAATAAAAGCGATAATACATACGCAGTGGTTGCTGTTCCAGGACATGCTGGAACCGACGTATCACCAACAATGCATGTAATACAATACTGAGCAGATGGAATATTCGAACTACAATAAATATAATATTAATCAACTAAAACAACGATAGAATTCATATAACTTACTTGTCCAAAGCAGTAGCACACAATATTTGAAGGCCCAATTGACTGAGCAATGGTGTATAGGTAATATTCTTTTCATAGGATGTACCATTTGGTGGATCCAATTGAATAATCGGTCCTTCGACGATTCCACTAAATGCTTGCACAGCAATATCAGAAATATTCGATGTTGATCCACAATTATTCACTGCTGCTAATGTGACTGTGTATGGAACTCCAACTTGAACACCAATACATGTCGATGGACTCGATAAAGATGGTACTGGACAATTTTGAGGAGGATAGACATAGATCAAAAATTGAACTGGAACTGAACTCATGGCAACCGCCATTAAATTTGTATCGATAAAATCTTCAACTTGAATCGATGCACAATACCAACTGTTCGTCACATTACCTGTAATTGTCAATGTACAATTACTTGATAATATTGTTGATGATGGAATGGTTGTCGGAAAGCAAACGTTACCGCACTCAAGCGATGAATTACTCCATCGACATCGAACATTATCACCATCGATATCAAATGTTGAAATTACAATTTGGGTAGGTATATTTAAAGGAATACCTTGTGGAGACATAACATTGGCTAAAGGTGGTGTGTTAATCAGTCCATTATCTGGTCGTACACGAACATCAATCGATGCTGTAATGTTCCATCGAGATGTTGTACTTGTACCGCCTGTTGACAATGTCAATGGACGATAGAAGCCTGCAGTTGATGTATTGGGTATAGAACTATTAAAGAAATCAAAAGCAAATATAGGATAGAGAAAGATAAGTTAACAAATACTTACTGTGAAACGGTAAAATAATCGTTAGCAGCTAAGCTGACAATATCTGATCGTTGAGAAAAAGCAAGATTAAGTCCTGGACTCGTTCCAGTACAATAACCAAGCACAGGTGGAGCAACGTAGCCTGCTGACGTCGGACCACAATTGTAGGTGCACCACAAACTGAAATTAAAGCCGAATGTAGTACTTCCGATCTGAGAGCCTACAGAGCAGGTGACCAATGATAATGTGTATGTATAGGTTTGAGTAATCACCACTTGAATAGGTGCTGTCGTAGCACTCCTGTTTACTGGTGCCCATCGAATTGTGCCTCCATCGAAATGGCCTGCTTGAATAGAAGATGCAAGAAACAGTAACAACCAGCATTGCTTCATTGTTGATTGATGTGAATGAGAATATCATAAGCAAAATCAAATATTAAATACATCTTGTTTTTCTTCATGAATGGTTTCCTTTGATGATAGAAACAATCAATATATATTTACATAATATGAAATGCACCTTGTTGATGAATGTTGCCTTGTCATCGTACTATTGAGTAACATTCAATTTCAAATATCAATTATTCATTGACCGTATGTTTGAATCCTATTCTCTACTGAAGATGAAATAATTAAGCTATAGTGTAAACTGATGTCAACTCGCACGAACTTTATGGATACAAAAAATTGATCAAGATTAAACTTTGTTTCTATGCGCACTCATCTACATCATTCATCGATACTTCGTTTCTGTTTAGTTTGTTTGGAAGCCTTAGTGGTATGCATGAAATAAACTTGACTGGATTCATAGTCCTTTTACATTTTCTGCCAGGTATTGTTTCATCTCCATCAAATAGTTAACGGAGAAACGAAGGACAATTTGATTTATTTGCATTGTTTTTTGTATACAAAAAAAAAATATTTATTTCTGTTAGAAGTATGACCACGCCTTATCATAATGAACAAAATTGATAATGAATATTTCTCAACATTTCGATCATTTAAATACGTAGTTAATAGGACAGTATTTTATTATACGAGATTAAAAAAATAAACGATCTGTTATACAGCTGACGACTTGTCCACCATGAAAATATTGAGGGTGTGAGTGTGCGGGTGCGAATGTGGGGGTGTGGTCGTGTAGGTGTGGGTGTGGCTGCTTTAATCTCTACTCATACTCACACCCACACCCACTCACACCCACACCCCACCCACACCCACACCCTACACCCACCCCACACTCCACCCACACCCACACCCACACCCC